TCCTTGCTTTCTCTTGCCCTTATTTTTGTTCTTCTGTTGTCCACCCCATAAGGCTACGTGGCCTGGCTGTGTAGCAACTGCCAGAGCAGACACCCTGTGGTTTACAGCACCTGTCTTGGCACATGCATTGACCATGTCTGCCAGCGACGGGTCACCTGGAAGAGCATCTATGATCTTCCAGCACTCACTATTCAAGTTGAACCGGGCTAACTGCTTGCATAAAATCTGCCTTAAGGCATCATCCTCAACCTGTTTCTCCAGGGCAACAGCAAGCTTCTCGGCAAATGGCAAAAAAAGGTTCACCTGCTCCTTATCATTGTAAATTGTGGCCTGGGGAAGGCTGTGCTTCAACAACGCAATAAATCCTACACTTTGACACTGCTCAAGAACAGTAGAGTCCTAGGTAGTCTGAAAATCAGGACTGGAAATGGCCTGCTCTCCAAGGAGAGCATCCACCCCCATGCCATACCTACAGTCTTCCCAAGGCAGAAGCCTGTTGCTTGCTGCAACCTTTGCAGCAGCCTGTGTCCAGCTGTCCAAAAAACCTCATATTGCACAGGCTGGAACAGTGCCTGAGCAATATGTTTAATATCAAATGGAGCAAGCAGGTCCGAGTTTATCACTCTGAGAGCGTGCAGAACTTGCTCAGAGCCAAGGCCGTATTTTGCAGCCTGGTCTCGCAGATCCTGGATCACTTGCCAGGCAATCACATCATGCCTGTTGGTGTGTCCTGAATTCAGGACAGGCTTATACACAGGAAGAACTTGCACCTGGCCTTGTGGCAGAACATGGTCTCCCTGAACCACCTGTGTCCTCCCCACAAATGTCGGACAAGCTGTCTGACCGACACCTGCGGCTCCTTCCCCCAGAGCAAGTATGGTGCCTGCCGCACACTGTGACCTCCCCGCCCTGTTCAACGGATCCCCATCCCCAGCTTCTGAAGCTTGCATCTATACTGCATCCCAAAAGCTGTGGGGATTCTTGGGGCACATGCAAATGCAGATTAGAGCAATACAGTGACATGGAATCCCAAAAGGAGGATGCCATTTACATTCTGAGGGATCCAATCCCAGCTAAATGAAGCACCATGAGCAGGAGCACATCATGGAAGAGGTTTCTGTGTATTCTGTCTAAAGACATAGTTTTTATTTCTGTTGTTAATTAAGCTTAGTGAAATAGCTGCTTGTGTTAAAATGCCTGCTTGGATGGGATAATATCCAGTGAACACAGGATGAGGACACCTGTACAGATCTGCCAAATATCAGCACTCACTGTCTGAAGGCAGAGTGGAGCAAGGCCCAAAAACTGGAGGTGATAAGAATGGACTGAAACCACAGCCAAGGAATCTGCATGCTCTAAAAAGGCGGATCCAAGGAGGAGCCATACTAAACAGTTCTTGGAACATGTAAACTAGTTTGGGGGAAAGTTTGCTATGCATGAGGGTCTATGAATATGCAACAGGCTGATGTAAGGAAAAAGGTATTTAAGGGGTATCTCTGAAGGTGACAGGGTGCTCTTGGCTGAGTGCCAAGATGCACCTGGCCCTAATAACCTTTGCTCCATGGTCCTTGTCTCCCATTGTCCTTTATTAAACTTTTTACATTTTCACAGGAGAGTGAACATGTTTTTCACACATGTGCACAGTTTGATCCAAGAGCCTGGCAGGTAACAGCTCCACACATCTCTTGGCAATCAATGGCAAAACAAACCAGACTGTTTTTCTCCTGTCTGTAGCTCTGTGCAGGGACCATTAGAAGGGAAAACACAGCCCTTGTGCTGGAGCTGAGCTGGAGACCTGGTCTGCCAAGCACTATTGAGCTCCATCCAACCCGTTTTCTGCTCGTCCGATTGACATCTAGGGCCCTGTACAGAACACTGACAGCCTGGTCTGGCCCCCAGAGAAGGAAAAGGAGTCCCTGGAGAAGCTGTACCAGGTGATGCTGCTACTGGAGACACCAAGGATGACCTCAAGGATGACAATCTCTTCCTTAAGCTGACCACTGGCAAGCTGAAGACTGACTTCAGTTCTGGCACCTTCTTCAAAGACACACTTCACACCCAATTTGCAGGTGAATCCACACACAGGGGGATGTTCCCAGATCCAGCATGGCACAGCCTGGCTGGGCATCAAAAGTTCCCCCCTTTCCTGGGGCAGATGCAACAAATTCTTCAGTTGGCTGCCAAGCTGCTTTTTGGCAGGGCTCAGGGGGATGTAACAAAATGGGAGTCAGCTCCTGGTCCTGCCAACAGCACCTGCTGTGCCCTAGGCTGGGGGGCAGACAGCCCAACCAAAACAAAACCCCATGGGGGAGCAGAAGTGGGACTCCAAAAGCCACGCACTGGCTCCTTTGGTTTGCAGGAGAGGAAGGGCTTGGGCTACTCCATTCTGCTTGTCCCTGGCTGCACAACAGCAATGTCTCAGGGGTGCTGTGGGAGGTTACTATGTCATTCAGAGCTGCTCTGCAGCCCTCAACTGTCTTCACTGTTGTGTTGCCACTCTTTTTGCCTTGTCCCTCCAGCAGGATGAGCTCCATGACTGCTCTTTACCCTCCCTACTCTTCCCAGACCACCCCCCTACCTCAGTGAGATTCAGGCTAAAGCTGATTTGTCTCCTGTGGCCCAGCAGTGCCATCCCCTCTGTGGGGAGCTCCAGCCCCAAAGCCCAGTGCACAGCAGTGTGGGCTGGAGCAGCTGAGCTGCACCCCTGGCTTGGCTGTTTGTGGGAACTAAATCCTGCCTGTGTGCAGTTCTCCCTGCAGGACGGCCCCAGGGCAGAGCCAAGCCCAGCTCCCGCTGCATCCCCTGTAGCCTGGGGCAGAGGATGGTCCCATAGCAGCTGCCAGAACTGAGGTTCCTGGGGAGCACCCAGAGCTGTGGCTCCAGGCAGCATTTGGAAGGGTTGTGTTCTCATCTACTCAACCTTGTGTGGAGAACAACCTGTGCTGCTAGGCCAGCACTGCCCTTCTGCGCAGGAACAAGGCTGAAGGGCTTTCCCATCCCAGAGGAGGCAGCGCCACGCCTTGACAGGGCCTGGCAGGGCTGGAGCTGGATCTTGCTCCTGTCTGGGACTCACTGCCCACCCATCCCCACTGCACTTCCTTGTCCAGGGGCAGATGGGTCTTTCTGTGCAAGGGGCTCTTGGATGTCTCTGTATCCACGGATAGGGAACAAACACGGAGACAGAAAGTGTCACACAAAGCGTCTGCACTCTCCATCCTTTCTATTCAAAAACCATCTCTGCATACTCCATGCAGAGATCTATGAAAAATCTATGGAGGGACAGAGATTTCCCACACACCTTTAACTCTGGCAGCACTTCCCTGATGAGAGGTGACCAGTGGATTTTTTTCCCAGCTCTGTGTACAGAATAGCTGTCCAAGAGCTGAAGGGAGCAGCATTTAGAAACACTTTCAAGATTTCTAGGCAGGAAAGGGAGCTGATGGCCATTCCTGGAACTTGCATTATTCATCAGGAGGGAGGGCTGGTTCTTTAGGAATAAGGAACAATGGAGACAGAAGAATTTGGAAAAATCCCAGCTCTCCGTGGATTTGTGCAAAGAGGGAAGCAGCAGAAACACTTTGTGTCTGGTTGTGTGGACACAAGGTCCAAGGAGCTGCGGTAGCAGCGGGTGACAGGGCTGGTGGCAGGTGAAGTCCTGTTTCATGACATCCCAGAGTGGCACAGGACAAAGCTCCAAGCACCCACAGTCACACTGATGAAGTCTTTGCAATGCTGCACATCCTCTAAGAAAAGCTGCTGTCCCACAGCCTGTTGGAAATACTTCAGGTCTAAGTTTCAGACTGCAGTACTTTTACATTCAAGACCAGTCATGCTAGAGGTGACTGGGAGTGGCTAAGAGCAATTAGAATCATGCTGCAATCTGCTGAGAGCAACTGGAAGTGAGTGGAAACACTGGGGGCAACTGGGATATACTGGGAATATCTGAGACCATAAAGCAACCTTAAAGGGAGTTACTGGAATACTACTGGGAGAATCTGGGAGTGACTGGAAGCATACTGGGTTATTGGGAGCAACTGGGACCATGCTGGGAACAAATGGCATCATACTGAGAGTGACCATGTTCATACTGGAATCATACTCGGTGGGACTGCAGCCATAGTGGGAATAATCATACTGGAGGTGACCGGAACCATATTAGGAGTGAATGAGAACCCCTGGGACTATGCTGGGATCACAGTGATATCATACTGGGAGTGACTGGGATCATAGTGGGAATTACTGGGACCATACTGGGGGTGACTGGGAACCATTCTGGGAGTGACCTGAGCCCTCTCTGGGTGGAATTGGGTAAACTGGCTCAGCTGGGCTCAAGGTTGTTCCACCCCAGGGCTGCCCTGGATCTCGCAGCTGCCCCAGCCCCACAGAGACAAGGGACACAGGAGACAGGGAACATGGAACAGACAGGGGACATGGCATGGCCGAGGGCCACTATTCTCCAGCAGTTTGGGCTGTTGAGCGCAGGCTGTTGCCCTTGGGGTCCCAGAAAAGGTAAAATGATACGCAAAAATAATCCTAATAAAACTCCTTTCCTCCACCTCTCCCTCCTTCCCAGGCTTTACTTTATCCCCAACTCCCTCCCACCTCCCCACCACTGGTGCAGGGACAATGGGAGGGGGGATTGTGGTCACTTCATACTGCTGCTTCCCCAACAGGGAGAGGAGTCCTTGCCTGACTCCAGGGTGGGGTCCCTTCCATGGATTCAGTCCTCCATAGACTTCTCCCGTGCAACTCCTTCCCAGTTTGCCTCTTTATCACCTGCTCCAGAGTGCAGGTTTTGATTGATTTTTTTTTCACAATCATTGATTTTCACTTTAGTAAATGTACTTATCTCAACTGACAGAGTTTCAGCAAACAGACTCATCCCAGCCTGTGAGTTGTTTGCCAGCTAAAATTTAAACAAGTACAAACAACAGAGACTCAGTACCACATTGTGTGGGGTTAACACCAGCTGGTGGTGGATCTCTGTTAAGAGGGAGGTTTCAGGTGGAATTCAGGATTTCTGTATCCTTCTGGACTTCACTGGGGTGTCTCTGCAGGTGGCTGCAGATGGAGAATTTAGTCTCAGAGCACCTGTCGCTGCTGATCCTGTGAGAGTTCGTGTAGGCGCAGTGGCCGCTGCCCTGGATGTCAAACCTGGATCAACAGCAAAGTTAGAGCTCATGGGAGACAGCTGGGAAAGGAGGGATTCCCATTTCCAGAGAGATTAAGGGTGCTGCAGGTGCAGGGACCAACCTTCCCAGCTAAGTCCCCATGAAGAACCCAAACTACTTTCCACTCCTCAATGGTTTTCATGTTTTTGGTCCCAGGGGATTCATGCAGGGATGCCCCCAGGCCCCCATCAGCATTTGCATCTCAAAAATCCACGGGATGTGTATGAATGCTTTGGCACAACCAGGGAAAGTAGTGTTTGATTGCTCCCACCTCAACAGATCTCTACTTGTGCTTCCTGCATCCAGCCCCTGCCCCGGCTCAGCCCAGGCCATAGTTTTGCTCCAGAAGATGGGACGTACAGGGCATTGAAGAGGGAACCATTGAGCCATTTCCAAGGTCCAGAACCTTCCCTCCAGAGACCAACCCAGTACTCCATGAAGTTCCCATAGCGCAGGAGGAAATGCTGGAAGTGGGGAAAGCAAGGATCACAGGTACCTCCATGTTATTCTGTTCAGGCAATTTCCTGCAATTTCCAAATCTGCTCTCCAAACTGCCTCCTCAGGGGTTTCTCTTACCAGCTCCTCCCTGGTGTCGATGGTGGCCAGGTGGGCTTGGCGGGAGAGGCAAGAGTGCTGACTCCCTTCCCAGTCCACTTCCTCCTCCAGAAAGTAAAAGCACTTGTTCCCAAAGCCAATCCCACTCTCCAGGCAGCTGGGCAGGGTGGGAGCTGGGCAGGGTGAGTCTTTCTTAGCTGCAAACAAGCACAACATGCCCAAGTGACTCTTGCTGGGGGGCTTCTCTAGGAAGGAGACTTTTGGGTGGCTTCTACACCCTCAGCCACTCACCTGCCAGCATGATGATGGTGACTATGAGAAGCAGCACCACGGTGAGCACGGTGACCACAATAATGACCTTTCTGTCATTAGTGCATCTGAGGCTGAAATCTTGGGACAAACCGCATGGGAAGGGCATGAAGAGCACCCCCTGTTCTCCCAGCTCTCACATTTCCCTTATGGGTCACTTCAACATCTTCTAACACAGCCCCAAAACACTCTGGAGGCTCCCAGCAGGGCACAAGCTCAGTCCAGGGGGCATCCCAGTGCTATCATCGGCTTCCAAGGATTTTTGAGGCTTGCCAACCTCCCTGCATCACCTCTGTGCCCCCCTCCACCATGAAATGGGCACCATCCCCCCAACCCTCAACTTGCAAACACTTTGACATTTCTTACTCCCCCTCCCACAACACCTTTGACCATTTTAGCTTGCCCCAACACACTGAGCCATATCTTGAAACAACATCCTCATAACCAAACCGGGGCTTACTGGTCCTTCCCTGTGCTCTCTGCTGTAGCAGCTCCATCACAGCAGCCGAGTCTCCACCTGTGCAAACAAATCAAATTCTGACTCACACTCAGAAGTGGGGAGTGGGAAAGGCCTGATTTGGGATATTTTCCTCCTAGGACAGCCAGGCGCCATTGTTCCTTTGCCAGGTTTATGTTTGCAGCAGGAAGGAAAACAATTTCAGCTTTCAAAAAAACAGGACTTGCTTGGTTTTTTCAGCTCTGCTTCAACCTCAGCCAGCACCTGCTGGCTATGGGTGTCCTGAAAAGGTGTTGCCTCAAGGATCTGAACAAGTCCAGAGGGGTTTTCAGCCCCAGACCCCACTCCAGGTCACCCAGGGCACCCCAGAAAGTGCTGGATGGCCACACTTGAGCCAACCTTGATTCCCCACCCTGTGCAGGGCAGCGCATGAAGCTCTTGGGGCAGGGGATGGTGCCTCTGTACCTTCTTCACAAGGGACTTCTGCCATCCCCGGGGCCACAGAGGGGACAGGGGCACCCTCCAGGGACCAGAGTGTCCCTCAGCTCCTCCGGCCACAAAGTGATCTTGGACAACACCCCAAGTTCACAGGGCCCAACCAGGTCCTGCTCCTTCCTGGGGCTTTACTAGGATGCTCCTGTGATCCTAAAATAAAAACACAAAAAGGTGATAATCCTCCCAACCTCCCGGGTAGTCACAGCTCTCCTCAGCAAAGTCGGTCCCACAGGAACAATTTGCTGAATATTTATATGGAAATAAAAAAATCAGAGAAACAGAACAAGGGTTGACTGACACAGACTGGAAATACCTGTGGATGCGGCTGTCAAGTCACTGGCAACTGAAGCTTGTTTCTATATTTATTACAACTATATAAATCACTCACATCAATGCCCAGCAGATGTTTTGACATCACTGTAAATTAAATTATTACCAGCCCCTGCACCTGGCACTTCCCCTGGGTAAATATTTTCCATATGAGAACCACCTGCCTGTGTCTACAAAGGTAAGACATCCAAAAGGATTTTTTAATCCCCTCCAAATGCTTGAATTTTGGTTTAATTGATGTGGTGTTTTGTTACTGTCTCCAACCCCCCAATTCCTCCTGCTCCACGCTGCAGCTTGGGGAATTTTGGGGTGAAAAACTGGTGGGGCAGGAAGAGGTGGGAAAGGGGGATGGAGGCACAGAAGTTTCTCTCCCTCCAAGCTTTTCCTCTCATTTCTTCTCTCCCAGATTTTTTGAGTCCCACCCACTCACACACCTGTTTTGGATCAAAGCAGCTGCTTCAGGAATTTCTGCAGAGTGGGGAGGCATCAGGTCACAAACCCCCTCCTAGGGGCACCTCTGGCCCCTTCACCCACAGGCCACAAGTGCCATGGATGATGTAGGGGTAATGGAACCTACCAGCCTTCCCCATACAGAGACATTTCCCACTCCTGGACACAGCCTCTGCTCCACAGAAAGGCTCCAACTCCCTTCCAGAACAAGAGTTTAAATAAACTGCCTCTGGACTTGGAAGCAGAATAATGATGCAGGTTTTTCCTCTCCCCCCTCGTACCTGCACAGGGGCAAGAGGGAGCAGAGCTGGGGAGGGCAGAAGTGGTGCTGGGGCTGGGAGTCTCCCCCCTGCAGCAGTGCAGGGACAACACACCTGTGTCTGCTCAGGGTGGTTTTGCTCACCTGAGGTTGCATCAAGGGGTCTGAGGGCCCCTAAATACTAACCCACCACAAAAGCACTGCTGTAAGAGCTAGAAGAGGCTGAAAAAAAAAAAAAAAACAACAATAAAATCACTGAAAACCATTTACAAGGCAGCAAAAACTAGAACTCACCTAAAAACAACATCCAGACACTCAAACCAACCCCATGGTGGCAAAAGCTTCAATAAAACCAGCTGTAAAGTAATGAGTTCGAGGTTTTATTCTCCTCTCTCTTTAATTTGCTACATTTATTTCATCAGTTGTTTATTTCAATCCCCCTGAAGATGAAGCCATGATCTGGGTGTTCAGCTCCATCCCATCCCTGGCATCTTTCCAGCCAGTGCCAACTCAACCAGCCCTGAGGTTTACATAGAGAAGCTGCTTTTCCAGAACTCACCCTCACAGCCAAGCTCATGGAGACTGGAAACAGATTCCTAAGGCTGCTTAAGTACCATCACACACTGGGAATGAGGGCAAAGAGTCCAGTCACAATCTGAGCACTCGGCTGTGCTCCAGCAGTTTGGAGGGGTGCCCAGTATGTTGCCCTATGGCTCCCAGGAAAGGCAGAGGGGTGGAGAATACTCTCCAGAAACTCTTGTTTGCTTTAAGCTTTATGTTTAACATTCCCAGTCTGCCACATGTAATGTTTTGAGTCTGGCTGGGTGCCTGATGCCACCAAGGCTGCTCCGGGCAGTGCCTTTCTGCCCCAGACAGTGCAGCGAACACCCAAAGAACGGTTCATGCCCAGATCAGGGCAGAGAGAGGGTACTCCCCTGGCACTGCCATGGGCACAACAGAGCTGGCTTGGGGAAAATTATTTGAATTTATGTCCAGTCAAACTATAACAAAAGAATGAGAATTAAACTACATCCTAGTAAAATTCATTCCCCCCACCCCTCCCTCCTTCCCAGGCTTCATTTTGTCCCCAGTTCCCTCCCAGTGGTGCAAGAGAACCAGATGGGGATAATGGTCACTTCATGCTGCTCCACATGCCCCCGGATCAATCAAAAAACCCTTCCCAGGAGTTCCCCCTAGCCGGTCTCCCTCCTTTGCAGTTCTGGGGTCCCCATGGATCCTGGTGATCTCCCCTCTTTGGAGTCCAGCTTAGGGATCCTGGGGGGTTCGGGTTTCCTTTTCCCTTGATTCTGCTTCAGCTCTCAGGTAGTCCCAGGGTCGCCCTCTTCAGACCCCCCTCACTCCAGGCATTTGGGGCTCCTCCCTCTCCCTCCTATCCCTTTCAGGGTAGGGCGTCCTCACCTTCCCTCATCTCTGTGTTCTGGGGGTCCTCCAACCCCGGTATCACCCCTCTCCATTTTCCCCACTCCAGGGGTCCCATGTTACACTCCCCTGGTTCTCCCGAGGATTCCCCGAACTGATGTCCTGCCCCGCCACTACTGGACGATCGCGACATGGACCCCCCACAATGTCCCCACAAGGGGCACTCAAGGCTCATCTCTGGAGTTCTGCAAGTTTCAACACACCCCTATCCCCCCAAGAAAATGTGCCGGAAATGCAGATACCTGGGGCTTGATTCCAGAATCTGCAAGCTCCAAACACCCCTCCAAAGAAATCCCTGCCAGAGACCCCCTAATAAATTTGGGTCAAACTCCCCTTCCCCAGTCACCTGAGGGATGTAGGGGGTGCAATGCTCTTAGGGCCGGGGGGACTGCGGACACAGCAAACAGTAGCCCTCCCGCTTCTCCTTCTGCTCCTTTTCATGCTCCTCCTCTCTCTCTCTCTCTCTCTCTCTCTCTCTCTCTCTCTCTCTCTCTCTCCCCCTCTCTCTCTCTCCCCCTCTCTCCCTCTCTCCCTCTCTCCCTCTCTCCCTCCCTCCCATTTTTTTCCCATCACCTCTGCCCCACAGCACCATAGCCCTGGCTGATGGGTGGCGGGGGACCCCACTGGGAATAGACGCAGGGAGAAATCCCCTCAGTGCAGATCTGCACCTTCACTCCCCACCCTGAGCCCCAGGGATTCACTCCAGGGCTTAAGTGGTGAGCGATAAGGGTGGACACCCATGGAACTGCCCTTCTTCCATTCTAGCTTCACCTTTTCCCTCCCTCTTCGCCTCCTTTTCCATCGTTCCCACCAATCCACTGACCTCGCCAAACTCAACTTGTGTGTCCCATCCCCCTCCCCCTCTGTTTGGGGATCCCAGCCCCCTCTTTTCCTCCCTTTCCCATCGTCCACCGAGTTCTCAACCCACCTCCCCCGTGCTTACTTTTGGGAGTCCCAGCCCCATCCTGTTCAGTTTGGGCATCTCACCTCCCCTTTTGCTTAGCTGGGAGTCCCAAGCCCTCTTCCCCTCTCTCCCCCTCCCATGCCCCTTGCTCACCCCATGGATGGGCAGGCTCCCAGCACCACCAGTGCCACCAACACGGCACCCAGCTCTGCCCACACACCCCATCCCCAATGCTGGGCAGGAGCTGACACCCCAGAGCAGGGCTGTGCTGTGGGGTGGTCCTGATAAATAACAGAGAGAATAGAAATTCTCAGTTCCCCTAAAGTTGCGGAATAGAGCTTAAAGACTAACTAGCAAATAAGATAAAAGGATGTTAAAGTATTTACACAGGATGATAAACATAAGCGGAACCACTGGAGAAACAGATAGAAAGGACTACAGGGTTTTGGGTTTTTTGCAAGTCATATAACAAAGAAGCAACAGCACATGCTCACAGAAAAAGTTCAAGGCAAGGTCACCTTTTATATTGAAGCACTCAGTGAACACGACCACCAAAGACCCCTTTAGCTGACCCTTCAGGACCATACAAGGCCTTCCAGGAGGAGGATGCATGCAAAATAGTTCTAGGAAAGTGATGTTTATGTATTAGATAAGAAACATATTTTAATGCATATGTCTTATCGTGATGGAATGAATGCGTTGTTGTAAAGTCTCGAGACACACAGTCAATAAAGAAGTATCCTCCTCTGTGCCCTGCACAGATAAAGACTGCCTGCTTTCTGATGCTTCAAATTGTGTTAGAAAGTTTATTCTGGCCAATTTCGGTATCAGGGCATCCCAGCCCCATCTTTTGGCGCCTCTTCTTCCCTTTCCAATCGTCCACCCAGTCCTCAATCCCCCTCACCCGTCACTGGTTTTTTTGGGGTCCCAGCCCCCTCCTGTTCTTTTTGGGCGTCCAATCCCGCCTTTCGCTAAATTTGAAGTCCTAAATCCTGCCCTCCCCTCCTCCCCTCTCCCAGTTCCCGCTCTCCTTCCCCCTCCGCTAGGCTCCCAGCACCACCAGCGCCACCAGCACCCCCCAGCTGCCCCCATGCGCCCCATCCCCACCACCGAGCAGTGCCGACAGCCCCAAAGCAGCCGCGCTGTGCCCGGGTTGGGGGGCCCGAAAACGAGCCCGCCTGCGCGGCACTGGGAGCACCAGTCCGGACTAGCGCGGAGCGCGGGCGGGCGCCATCAGCTGTGCCGGGGCAGGGCCGGGCCGCTGCCGGGACAACGCGGGAGGGCTCGGTCTGGGCGCCGCCCACCTCCCCCCTCCCCAAATTCCGCTCTCGGGGGGCACTGGGGGCGAGGTGGGGACGCAGATGAAGTTTGGGAGCAGAGCGCCGGGTGGTGCGGATCTGTCTGGCATCTGGGGAGTCATCAGCGAGAAAAGCTCTGATTGGCTAGAAATTTGGGGGGGGGGATGGGATCGGGTCTGGACACTGCCTGTCTCCTTGGCATCTGATGAGTCAGAATGAAACTGAGTTCTGATTGGTTAAGCGTCTTTGAAAGCTCTGTGTACAGTGTGTCTGCCTGAACACTTGGAAGTCATCACCTCAGTGCTCTCTGATTGGCCAAGGGCTGTTTTGGAG